TTTTTTTTAGGTACTGGGGATCGAACTCAGGACCTTGTGCCTGCAAGGCAGGCAGCAGAAACATTGAGCTAAATCCTTGGCCCTTATCTTTTTATGTGTTTTTTTTTTTTTTCTGTATACTCACTGGATTTATGCCTATGCCCTAGTCTGAGGATAAGGATTATGTTTTTCTTCTACATGTCTCTATTGGCAAGGAGTTTATTTATGTGGGAAAAAGGTGAGGTTTGGGATAACTAACCACACAAATAATTCTGGGTGCCTCTGACTAAGTGAGAGGTCATTGGTGGACCTACTTTACGTAGGTTTCTTTCTTTCTTTCTTTCTTTCCTTTCTTTCCTTGGTATTGGACCCACTAGGGTCAGGGCCTTTCCACTCAGCTACATCGCCAGCTCTTTTTTTAAATTTATTTTTGAGACAGGGTCTTGCTGTATAGTTCAGGCTGGGCTTGAACTCACTGGTCTAGGCTGGCCTCAAATTTGTGGTGATCCTTCTGCCTCATCCTCCTGAGTACTGCAATTATAGGCGTGTACAACCACAATTGACTGTTTTGTAAAAAAAATTTTTTTTTTTTGTACCAGGGATCAATCATGGGACCATGCACTTGAGAAGAGACAGGTGGTGGAACCACTGAGCTAAATCCTCAGCCCTATTTTGTAAATTTAATTCATTAAAATGTACTAAGGAAGACTAACTTTAAAATCATTTGTGGTAACTACGGTATGCATCGTAGCATTCTAGAATGAAATAAAACTTGAGAGGTTCTGCGTTCCTAAGAAAGGAGGTGATTTTGGTGTAAGAACTGCTGCTAAAATTGACCTCTTCCTTGTACCTAAAAAGTCAAGAGTTGCCTAAAGAGAACAAGGTTGGTTGGTGGTAAAGCCAAGGTCCCGTTTACAACATAACTATCCCCTAATTTACCTATTTTTCTTTTATCTTCTCAAGTATAGAATCATAGCACTTGTAGAGCACCTTAGGACTGACATAGGGTGCGTCATGTTATGGACAGTAAGGGAACTGTGGCCCAGAGAGGTTGAGTAACTTGCTTAAGGTCACGCCTTCGCTTAGTGATGGAGCTGGAACTAGGACTCAGATTCAGGTTTCTGACCTTGAAGGGGATGGGAGGAGCAAGATCTTGCTATATTGCCCAGCCTACTTTTGGACTAAAGCAATCCTCCTGCCTCAGCCTCCTAAAGGATGGGACTATAGTCATACACTACTGTCCCTGGCCAAGGTTAAGGAACTTAATTGACATTTATTTATTTATTTTTGTTTTTTTGAGACAGGGTCTCACTATGTAGTTGAGACTGACCTGGAACTCACTATGTAGCCCAGGCTGGTCTCGAACTCACAGCAATCCTCCTGCCTCAGCCTCCCGAGTGCTGGGATTACAGGTGTGCTGCACCACCATGCCCGGCTGTTTTATTTTCTTTTTTTGTTTGTGGTGCTAGGATTGAACCCAGAGCCTTGAGTATGCTAGACAAGCTCTCTACCACTGAGCTTTATCCCCAACCCTTAATTGGTTTTATATTCTATTCTATAGTCAATCTATACTTCATTTCATAAAATAGAATAAGTGTTCCAATGGGATGAGCACAGGAGTTGTTTGTTTGCATTTAGAAATTGAATTCTGGGCCTTTGCACTGATTTATATCCCCATTCCTTTAATGAAATTTTGGGACAAAGTCTCACTTAAGTCACCAAGTCCCTAAGTTGCCAATTTGAACTTACCATCTTCCTGCCTTAAGCCTCCTGATGCTGGGATCCGTGGCCAGCTATCTCATTTCTTATCTAGGTTGAAATTCCTAGGAGTCATCTGTTTGCCTAGACTGGAACAGGTTACACAGCCCTTTGCCTATGAGTCTGGTTATTTGTAGTAATTGAGGCTAGTCAGAGCTGGCTTCCAAGGTTGCATATAACCTTGTCAGTATTTGCTTCTCACAGGTAAGGAGTAAGGGAGTATTCTAAACAGACTCAAAAATCTAAAGTTAACCTTAATTTTTTTTTTTTGAGGTGCGAGGGATTGAATTCAGGGCCTCACACATGCTAGGCAAGCACTGACCACTGAACTATACCCTCAGCCCCTTTACTCTGTATTTTTTCTTTCACAACAAAGGGTACCTAAAGGAAGAATAAAGCACAACTTCAGGCATCTAAGAGTGGAAATGGGTTAGATTGATTGGTTTTTTTGTTTGTGTGTTTGTTTTGAGACAAAGTCTTTTTTTTTTTTTTTTTTTTTTTTTTTTTTTTGTGAAAAATTTTTTTTTTTTTTTTTTTTTTTTTTTTTTGATACTGGGGATTGAACTCGGGACCTTGCGCTTGCAAGGCAGGCACCAGAACCTCTGAGCTAAATCCCCGGCCCCAAGACAGGGTTTTAATGTGATGTAGTTCAGACTGACTTTCAAATCATTATCTAGCCCAGGCTGTCTTCACAGCTATCCTCTTGCCTGGGCCTCACAAGTGCTGGGATTACAGGCATGTACTACCACACCCAGCAGATGGATTGTTGTTTTTTAATTTGTTTGAGATAGGGTTTTGCTCTGTAGTCCAGGTTGACCTTGAATTCATTATGCATCCTACACTGGCCTTCAAGTCACAGTCCTGCCTAAGCTTCCTCAGTGCCGGGATTACTGGCATGTGCCACCTCACCCAACTAACATAGTTCTTTTTAAATCTAACCCCTCCCCAGCCAGGGAGGCCCATACCTCTAGTCTCAGCACTTGAGAAGTTGAGGCAGGAGGATTACTGCAAGTTCAAGAGGCCAGCCTGGGCTACGTTGACCTTGTCTCAAAAAAAAAAAAAAAAAAAAAACCCCAACAAAAAAAAAAACCAGTGAATCAGGTAAAATCTCTAGGCCTGTTTTCTACACTGCCTTATAGAATAAGAGAGAAAAAAGTAATACTGCAATTTGCTCATTGCTAAGAACAGCTGATTAAAAAAAAATTAAATCCTGTATATATAACGTAAATTTTTTTTTTTTTGCTCTTTAAAAATTTCGTTGGTACATTTTAGATACACATAATGATAACATTCATCGTAGGGAATTTGTACCTGTACATGATACATCTTGCTTCCTCCCATTACCCTCCCCTCCCCTCCCTTCCCTTCGGCCCCTCTTCCCCTCCTTTTTTTTTAAATTTTTGAGACAGGGTCTCAATAGGTAGTTGAGACTGACCTGGAACTCGTTATGTAGCCCAGGCTGGTCTCAAACTCACAGTGATCCTCCTGCCTCAGCCTCCTGAGTGCTGGGATTACAGGTCTGTTTCCATGTTTGAGGGTTTGTGGCCTCATTTTATATACTCCGCGGGCACATTACCATACTTTTTTTTGGGGGGGGTACCAGGGATTGAACTTGGGACCTTGCACTTTTGAGGGAGGAACCACTGAGCCAAATCCCCAGCCCCCTCCATTGTATTTTTAAAAACCCAGAGCTTTGTCCATTCATCAGGTATAACCTACATCTGAAACAGAATCCAGCACCCATCTGGGGCGTGGTACACACCTGTAATCTCAGCTCTGGAGGTTAAATCAGAAGAATGGAAAATTTAAAACCAACCTGAGCAATTTAGCCCTTGGCATGCACCTAAAATAAATTCTTCAGTGGGGAGGGGGCAGGATCTTGCTATGTAGTTCAGGCTGGCCTTGAACTTACTACTACATAGTCCAGGCTGGCCTCCTTGGGACCATCCTCCTGCCTCATCTTCCTGAGTTCTGATATTACACATGTATCACCATGGTTGGCAAAATAAAAAAGATTTAAAAAGTGCCAGGAGAGGGCCGGGGATTTAGCTCAGTGGTTCCACCTCCTGCCTTTCAAGCACAAAGGACCCGAGTTCGATCCTCAGTACCAAAAAAAAAAAAAAATTTCCAGGAGATATTGCTCAGTGTGAAGGCCCTGGGTTAAATCCCTAGTAATTTAAAACAAACAAATTAAATGGTTAATTAATTTGTTTTGTTTTTTGATACTGGGGATCGAACTCGGGACCTTGTGCTTGTGAGGCAGGCATTAATTATTTTTTAAATGGTTGGACTGTAGACTCATTCTGTCTGGGTTTGAATTTGGTTCCATCATTAGTTAGCTGTATGATTTTGGAAAAGTTTTTTAACTTTTATGTCTCTGTTATTCTTCTGCAGTGAATA